CTAATTTCGCCAGAACTTTTGCGGCAGATTACAGTGTAGAAGCGAAGCAAAGACCTGACACATTTGATGAACCCTTTATCATGTCTGGGTATCAAGGAATCCTGTGATCTCCACTAAGTTAGTCTGGGTGTCTTTATCTCCAGTCAGTATCTGTCCGTGTTTGTCCAGCAAGATGCATGGTACTCGGACCCTTTTCCATCGTTACATAAGAACTCTGAGAAGAGTTCCAAACCCTCAATCTCGCCCCAATATACAATCTTCGCAGCAATTTTGCATCACCCAAAAACCCACATTCTCCTACTCCTCTGGTAGCTGCTACTCGACATCAGCTGCTGCAACATCTCGTGAAGTGCAGGAAATTCTGGTAGAAGTAGAGCGTGAGAAGCAGAGGGAAAAAGAGGCTAGGAAGCGTGCAGGGTTGGATACTAAAGATCTTGATGCAGAAGATGAAGAGGATTACATGGGTGTCGGGCCTCTGATTGAGAAGTTAGAGAAGGAGAAGCTGAAAGAAGTCGGTGACAAGCTGCTTATGTATGAGGAGCGTTCTGATTCAGATAGCGATGAAGATGATGAAAGGTTTGCACCAGATGCTATCAGGAAAAAGTTTGATCAGTTTCAGAAGAAGCACAAACGACATAAAGAGTTGCTTGACAATTTCACTGAGAGTGGTATGTAGTGAATGACAGAAAGAGAGTTGGTTTTAATTTCTGTATTTGGCAATGGATGTAATGTATTTTTGTCTTTCTATTCTTCATTGCAGAGACACTCGACGAGGCTTTCAAATGGATGAGTAGAATTGACAAGTTTGAGCAAAAGCATTTTAGGCTTCGGCCAGAGTACAGGGTCATTGGTGAGTTGATGAATCGTCTAAAGGTATCCGAAGGCAAGGAAAAATTTATCCTGCAACAGAAGATCAACAGGGCGTTGAGGATGGTGAATTGGAAGGAAGCTTATGATCCTAATGATCCAGCTAATTTTGGAGTTATTCAACATTCCCAAGTTGGATCTAACGTCGATCTCATTGAAAATGCTGATGGTGATGATGAGAAGGATGAGAAGGAAACTGTCCAAGATAGTGATGAGGAAGAGGAGTTTGATGACATGAAGGAAAGAGATGATATACTATTAGAGAAGCTGAATGCTCTTGATAAGACACTTGAGGAGAAGCTTGCGGAGTTGGATTATACATTTGGAAAGAGAGGCAAGGCTCTTGAGGAGGAGATTAGAGATCTCGCTGTGGAGAGAAATGCTCTGACAGAAAAGAAAAGGAAACCAATGTATAGAAAGGTATGTCTATCTTTCTTATCTCTACTAAAATTGCCAAAAGTTTGTTTTCTAAAGTCTACCACCGTAGCTGGTGGACAGTTCTTGCACCAAGTAGAACTGAATAATGAATTCTGCTAACGATCAAACAATTGACATTTTTGTATTAATCTTCTGTCTTTATACCAAATAAAAAAACCCTGCTGTCTCTATTATTGTTTTACCCTTCTTCAATACAATGATGCTACAGTTTCGTGCCGACTCTTGGTTGTGAGTTAGACTATGGACCTTGGCTTGAAAATATAGTACCAGTTTGAAAATAAAGGTTTCCTTTCAGTTGATGACGCATTTGATCTGGTTGATGTTGAATAAATCATCTCTCTGATCTTTTCTTGATCTGTAAGTAGCAAAAGTAGCATGTTATTCCTTTGAGGATGCACCACAATGTTGTGATGGAGAAGTATAACATAATATTAATGAGCCAATATACTTGTTTATGGCATCAGTTACACATGTATATGATTAACTGATGTCAATGGTGGGCTACAACTGCCATGTTAATGGTGGCGATATGCATTTGGATGTTTGCTCTTACTCTTGAGGAAATGGGAACTCACCCTTTTACTTCTTCTTAGGACACCTTTTCGTAATGCTTGTTGTGTGTGACAATGATATAATTAATGTATTAACCAAACTTGATAAAATACTGACAGGGTTTTGATGTGAAGTTGATCGACGTGAATCGAACTTGTAAAGTTACAAAGGTATTATAATCTTGCCACTGTGGTTCTTTTTCGTTGCAAGTGTTTTCAAGAACTGTTATTTTCTTAAGTCCTTGTGTATCTTCTGTAAGGGAGGGCAAGTTGTCAAATACACTGCTATATTAGCTTGTGGGAACTATCATGGTGTTGTTGGGTTTGCTAAAGCCAAAGGACCTGCCATCCCGATTGCTCTCCAGAAGGTAATTTTGCTGTGCTTTCGAGCTTCTCTGGACTTTGTCTAGTCTTAGTTAGCCTAGTTTATGTTGAGAAGAGGAAGTAAGTTGATTTTTCCTTCTTTGTGCAAGTCACTGTGGTTTTCATTAGCAAATGCTTATTCTCGATTTTGCATGTCCCCGTTTTGGATTTTATGAGCAGGCATACGAGAAGTGTTTTCAGAATCTCCACTACATAGAACGACATGAGGAGCACACAATCGCACATACCATACAAACTGAATATAAAAAGACCAAGGTATAATCACTTATTCTTCTCAGATATTTTTCTCCTCTTGCCTATTTGGTGCCCTAAATTATCCGTTTATTTCATAGGTCTATCTATGGCCGGCGCCAACTAGAACAGGTATGAAAGCAGGGAAAACCGTCCAAACAATTCTGAATCTGGCTGGCTTCAAGAATGTCAAATCCAAGGTAAAAGATAGTTCTGGCACTCGCTTGTTGTTCAAGAATCAAATCCAACGAATTGGAAAAACCCAAAACTAATTAAATAACTGAAACCTTAATTGTAGTTGAGTAGCCAATAGGCAACCGAATCGTTAACCTTAATTGGTAACTGGCAGTTGAACCAAGCTTAATGACTGTTATGGGTTGGTTTTTCATGTTCTTATGGGGTACATTTGTTGAAATATAATCCTTTTCCTTGTTTTCGGTGATCTAGTTAAACAGTTTCCAGTTTGTTCACTGGTTTTGTGTTACATTATGGTTTCCAGCATGTAACCGTACAACCACGAAATGGCCACGGAACAAAAATTGTTTGTACTAGGACGGTTACTAGTTACCATTTTAACTTGTTCAGCTTCTGGTTAACTGGAAAACTGGAATCGGTTGGCCGTCGGTCACTTCTCTTGTAATCCATCAGACCTGCCATCTTCATATTTTGTCCCTTCTCTTGTCAGGTTGTTGGCTCACGGAATCCTCACAACACCGTCAAGGCTCTGTTCAAAGCCCTGAATGCAGTAAGTGGCCAAGTCTTGCAACGAGAGCTCATAGGATTCTTGTTTTCAAAGTATTTTTCTTCTGCCTTGTTGACATTTACTTTCCAAAACTGTTCCATTATTCTACAGATTGAAACTCCAAAGGACGTCGAAGAGAAGTTTGGCCGAACAGTGGTCGAAAAGTACCTGCTCTAGGAAGCTTTTCCGGTGAAGAATCCACACATTCTTATTCCCCCAGTTAGGTTCTTTTCCTAGAGTTGAAGTAGCTTAGGCAGAGGAATATTTATGTACCCATTTTCGCAGCCAAATTCTGCTTCGTCCTTGGTCGATGTTTGGTTATAGCAGCTGACTGAAGCTGGGTGCCGCAATCTTGGCAGCCAAGAAAATATTGGTGCTCTAACTCCACTTTTATTTTCTTAACCCTTTTGTTCGGTTTAGAATTGTCTTTTTTGGTTCTGCATGTTACAGCGAAAGGTCAGAATCAAATCGGGTAGTTTGGTTATGGACCTAAATGTTTGTTAGTTCTACCATCACTCTTAATAAGCCAACCTTGCAACAGAAAGCGAGGGAGAAGGGCTGCATTATTATGGTGTTATTCATCTCGTTTTCTACCTGTTTCTATAGACTTCTTTTTAGTCATAATTTTACTTGGATTTCTACTAAATGTTTGATTGAAGATGTGTGTATGCATGGTGGCGGTAAGATGCGAAAATTAAAACTCGTAAAAGATGATAGAAGCAATTACAACATAAGATACACAAAGATTGAATAACAGGGTAACTATGTAGTTCTATCTAGATTCAAAATCTTATCTAGTCATTACGAAAAATTAATAATTATAGATAGAGCGAACGAATCGACGAGGAAGAGAAGGAAGGTGAATGACAGTGATCAACACTTCCACCTCAAGTTGGAGTACAATGTACGTCTAGATACAGGGATTTAGGAAGATTATTAATGACTTTGATCACTCTAAACCGCAGTTTCATCTTTAGAACATGGACTTGATGCCCATTGTTCGTTATTAATAATCAGTGATACACTCTTCATTGTCATTAATAATTGACGCGACGCTTTCGCTAGAAAAAAATGATTGATGCAACACTATTAAACGCATACATGAAGAGATAATATGCATTTTGATTTGTCACATGCCGCTAAAACATTTTTCTTGAGGCCGTCATTATTATATAACTGAAGATAAAAGTCGTCTCCAAAAGTTAAATCATCGAAGCCGGTAAAGAATACATTCTCCTTTTGTAAGATGCATGTACTTCTCAGTTCTCACCCTATGGTTTTCAAGAATTTCAACACATGGTAAAGTTTGAGTTCATTTCTGCCGCACAAATGTGTATTACATGTATGCTAAAAAAATCAATGACTAATTAATTAAGTCGTTTAAGGAACTTCCTAAACCAAATTGCAGACATCTTTGGAATTCTGATCGAAGGGGCTTTGAAATGGTCAACATAATACAATCCGAATTTCCACTCGTAACCACCGGTCCACTCGTACCCATCAAGTAATGACCACACCATATAGCCCTTCACATTTGCTCCCTTTCTGCAACCAAAATTTTCGACGCCAAATATATTTCGTTGATTAGCTCTCTTGTTGGAAAATGTAGCCCATTTTAGTTTTTACAGCAAGCAAGATTATGGATGAATTCGAATTCACTAGTTTTATTGCATCTACTTCATGGCTCTTCTAAGGGATATGAGATGATCTTGAAGATACGAAATTCTTGATTCATCATCTGGTGGTGCTTCAAGTGGTGAATGAGTGTAGTTTCCAGAGTCAGGGAGTCCTGCAAAATTCGTGCAACATTTAGATTGGTTTTCTACTGAAATCAACTAGTCAAATGATCTTAAAATTAGGTATTTTAACCAGAAGCAAGAATCACCCACCATTTTCTGTAATATAGACAAGAGGATTCTGATAGGTGTCTTTTATGTAGAGTAAGAGATTATAAAGTCCTCTAGGATAGATGGTCATCCATAGTGTAACTGTCTACATGATTCAAGAGCATGACTACATTAATTTATCATTACATGCAATTAAAATGAATTAATGGGGGAATAAGTAACATACTCACCTGAGGTCCAATTACTTGTCCATTTCTTACAACTGTGTTAATTTAGATAATAAGAAAGGATTAGATTTAGCAAAAGCTATTGACAAATTTCATATTTGTAGATGGTATGATTAGTCAATTCAACAACTAATTAATAACAGAGGATTACCTAATTTCTGATTGAAGTACCAAAGTTTTCATGATGATAATATATTCGAACTTTGGATGACGACTCAACAAGTATGGTTTCCACAGATATATATTCGAACTTTGGACAATTATAATCAGAGCTCAGCATACGGTTGACATATCCGCCGTCGCTAAAAATCATGTCGTTTTCTTAATAAGGATGAAAGGGTTTGCTTAAAGATCTCGTAAGTTTGCTGCAATTGATGAACTAATTAACTAATTTTTTTATGAAAAAATGACAAGAAATCAAGTTGTGTGGAATTAATTATGACAATAAGTCGTATAAGAGATCGATTTGGTAATTTGAACTTACAAGAAAGTTGGACATGAGCATCGTAGCCATTTGGGTGACGAGGATCGCTATAGTCAACCCGATCAAGTGCGTATTGGGTAGTATAATAGTTGATCCCAAGGAAGTCGTATGACCCTTTCAACAATGTCGATTCTTGTTTCGAAAATCTCGGCATTCGATCCCCAACATATCGTTTCATGTTCTCTGGATAGTCACCCTTGTATATTGGGTCCATGAACCTAATATTAAGCAATATCCATCATAGTTAATCATGTTTAATTACTAGAAAAAACATACTTTTAGCGACCAAAATTTTGCTACAGAGGATAAATTCATCGCTAGAACATGCAGGCTTTCTGTGGCGATCAGATTATATTTTCCATATTGTCTACATTTTTCGGGACATGCCGAGTCTACGAATTTACAATAATCTTTTAGATTTACGCGACGAGATAAGTCATCGCAATTTTTTTTGTGAAATTATGCAGTACACACTTTTTCGTCATAAACGAATTAGGAAATGTTGCGGCAGAACTATTTCATCCCCAGACTAGTTTTCCAAATGGGACAAACTATTTCAATTTAGACCAAAGCAAAAATATGACAATCAAATTAAACGTTTTCCAACTTAGCTATAAGCTTCTTACCATCCAAAAGTGAAATCAAGGGCTCTTTTGGCTGCTTGAATGTCGCCTTTACTCGAGCTGTATGGGATGATCCAGTCCGCATTCATTGATATTCCGATGATTCCTTTCTGAGTTGCCTATACATGAATTTCAAACAAATCTCTAACGTTAGCATTCCTTAATAATAAAAAACAATTCGAGAAAAGGGATAAGTTGGTTGGTGGAATTGTTGATTATAAACCTGGTATTTTTGTCTGTACAACTGAACGGCAGCTGCGTGAGCAAGAAGTTGGTTGTGGGCTACAATGTAGGGTTCCGTCGAGGAGTTTCCGGCGTCGCAAGTCCAGTTGGAAAGGCTGGTGCAGTGTCCCGGTGCCATATCGCCGACGTCGTAGCCGCCTAGTATCAGAGTCCTCGGCTCGTTTATAGTGACCCAATATTTGATTCGGTCACCAAATGCCTTGAAGCAAACATCAGCGTAATCTCTAAAATCGTCCCTGAAATTTCCAAACAAATTATTATATTGTCTTTTACGTTGGTTTGATATTTTATTGGATTTATGTAGCGGTTTTGTTGGTGGAATCAGTTTGGGTTTGGGCATAATTACACCATGCGAGTGCTTAGAAAGCCGCTGTATTCGTCTTCCAAAATTTGAGGGTAATCCAAGTGCATGAGTGACAAGAATGGCGTCAATCCTGCACAAACATATGATTGGCAATGATTCAACTTTGAGACGCAAACAAAACAAAATATATCGGATATCACTAAATTAAATTGCGAGAATCAGAGATGTATATGACTAGAACAAAAACAAGACCTCATGTGTCATGAAAACCGATAAAATATGCATTCATTCAACTTCATTTCTGTCACCTTGACATTGATTGTGGGCAAATAAGTTGATGAGTCACTTTTATTCTGTTTATTATAATACTCCGTAAGTTCATCCAAAATTTTATTTATTCTAATTTAATCGCATTAAGTCAAGAAGTTGCATGGAAATTAAGCTATATATATATTTAATCAGATTAAGATCACTGATTAAAATAGAAGTAATTATAGGTAGGAACCTTGTGCTAGGACCTCATCAATAACGTTGTTATAATGGTCTATTCCCTTTTGGTTGATACCTCCACTGAGCTTCCCATCTGAAAGTGACGAGGATCAAACGATAATTAGTTAGTTTATCTGGTCATAGTTAATCCTTTTACTCCGTTAACTTTGATTAATGACATAGTTTTATGTTAATGTGCCCAAATTTGAGATTAAATGTGCATAAGGTTCGACTTACACGGCAGTATTCTGGACCATGAGAGCGAGAATCTGAAAGTATCCAAACCGAGTTGTTTGGCAAGCGCTATGTCATCCTACAACCGCTAAATCATTTCAACTAATTAGTATATGCATTCTATCAATTAATCCCCTCTAGCTAATTGTCCAATATATAATTCGTCATTAAATATCATATACCTTGTATAAGTGGTAAGAATCGGTCGCGACATCGCCGTTGGTTCGACCTCGTATTCTGTCTGCCATTCAATCAACCAACATGTTGTTAGATCAACCAACTGTTGTGATATATATATATATCTCCTCAGCATTCGCCGCTATCTAATTTAGCGACGAGAACGGTTAGCATCACCACATAATAGCGACGGGAATTTTTTTTCTTAAATTACCTGGATGAGCATGACTAAAAGCATCCCATGTACTTGGACGTCTACCATCAACCCAAGTGGCGCCTTCATGCTAACAATTCCAAGGGGAAAAAAATTATTAAGAAATTTATAATAAATAATTCCAATATATTAATTTTTTTTTAAGATAAGGGTGATATATGTTACTTTTTTTTTTATTAGGTACTACTGAAGGGACTCAAACCTGGGACCTCCAGATTCATGGCTATTGGTATTACCACTAGACCAATCCCTTGTTCGTTCCAATATATTAATCTTTGTAAGGATGATCTCGAGAAATTACTTGGTACGCTGATATCGATGCTCCAAATTTGAAGTCCGGAGGAAACTGACGTCGTTTTATCGAATGTTTGCGGCTCGAATTCGATGGTGGTTTATGAATGCGATTATTCAACGGGAGACTACATGTGTCCGTAACTAATGTGGTGACTAAAGCTAAGAACAAAAGTAGATTCATGATGATCTCAGATTTCACCATCACCATTTCTGAGGTAAAAAATTATCTTGTGGTAATTAGTTTTCCTCTTCACTAATCCATTGGTATGTTATTACTTGATGATATTAGCCATTTTAAAGGCGAGGAGAGCAAGACAAACTTATGTTTTGAATGAAACTGTAAACATTTTAAATGGAATAAAAGAGAACGTCATTATGAATAACGCATCTGTTCCTGACACTACAATTAAATTAATTATCATGCATATATTATCAAACGTGTAATATTAATGGCAAAACCCCTAGTTATGTATAGTAAAACAAGTCACAAAATCATGCATGGTTTATATTAAGGATGCATCTACCACATACCCTTGATTTTTTAGTGTGTATGTTACACTCTATAGCATAGCATTGAGTTGAATTAATATAATTATAAATTTCCAAATTTTAAGGGGTATGTAAACGGTGATTTTGTGAATATTCCACGTCACTGTTATTTGAGTCTGTCTCACAAATTCGGTCGACTGGTGGGGGATACGATCGGCCGTTATAGTGATTTATATTGTATGATTGGCGGAGTTTACAAACGATCGATCACTCGCTTCCACGTGTCGACCAAATTAAGGGAATATCAACCTAACTTATTGATTTTGTCTTATATGACCATGCATATAATGCTATGTGCATTGTTCAATCTCCAATAATACAAGTGTTAGGCAGGAACACTCTTTTAGCATTTTTTTTTTATAGAAAAACATGGAACTCATAACACAGACCGTGGAATACAATTAACATGTGCAATAGTACTTTCCTAAACTACGTGCATGGTAATGGTAGGTAGGTATGTGACTAGAACTACACGGCCCAATCATGAAAAACCACACGCGGCCCAAATTTTCTTGCTTATAAGCAACCCACGGATTCGAACCTTTCATTTCAAATCCAATGACCAAGTTTTTCTTTTATTACCAGAAATCTGAACTCCACGATATCATGCATTTTGTGGCAGCGGGGTCTATTAAATATGGGGAGTACCTGCATTAGCAACATTTTTAAGACCTAGCAACATTTTGTGCCTCTAGGAACATCATGTGGTGCAGCGAGGTTCGAACTTGAGACCTCACAAATCTCAACCTCAAAAGACCACACTCCCGACCAACTCGACTGTGTTACTTTGACAAATCCAATGACCAATATTAATCGTGAAGAGATTCAGAAATAAAACCTCTAACTAACATTGCCTTCCCCAAATCATGGTTTGACCGTTCGAGTTAGGACTTAGGCAACACGAAAAGTCAAAACCATTGGCTTACAATCCAAACGTAATTATCCATACATAATCACAAAAATTAACAACAAATTAGTCAATAACCAAAACTCTACAGGCCAGCTGGTTCTCATCTATAAATACCGTCAGGCCAGGCTATCAATAATCACACCTCTTCATATCCATTCTCCATACACAACTCCCTCCCTTATTACTCACCTCATCTCTCAATCCATTCGCGGTAATTTAACATAGAAATGAAGGGTTTGTTTCTTGGTGCAGTTGTTTGCCTGTTGGTGCTTCTGCCTGCTGCATTGGCTCATGATCCTCCTGTTCCCTTTTCCCCTAAGAAGGGAAGAGTCGCTTACTACCGCATGTCCAACGGCTTAGGAACGCCAGCCGGAGCTTGTGGCTATGCCAAAACTGGCATAACTTACAACTACGGCAACGTCGCAGCGGCATCTAGCAAGCTGTGGAAGAATGGAGCTGCTTGTGGCGCTTGTTATCTGGTGAAGTGCGGGATAAAAGGCATCTGCAACGGCCAAGGAGTGAAAATAGTGGTGACGGATCGCGGAGATGGAGACAACACGGACTTCATCCTCAGCTCCCACGCCTTCGAAACCATGGCTCTACCGAACAAGGCTTCCCAGTTGCTACCAAAAGGCGTCGTCGACGTCAAATACGAGCGAATTCCATGCAAGTATCCAGGCCACGATAGTCTCATGGTGAAGGTGACGGAGCAGAGCAGGTTTGCGGAATACTTGTCCGTTGTTCTGTTGTACCAAGGTGGACAATACGACGTTTTAGGCATCCAAATCTACGACGGAAGTGTGAAGCAATGGAAGGACATGAGGAATGCATACGGCGCCGTTTACGATCTGCCTAACCCACCAAAGGGAACAATTTCGTTGAGGCTGAAACTCAAGAATATTGCCTCCGGAGGAGCAGTGAAACTCGTCAAGCTGGATAACGTTATCCCACGTTTCTGGAAGGCTGGGGTTGCTTATGACTCCAAGGTTAAGCTTGCTTAAGTTATATAATTAACTTGGCACACAAGTGGGTTCTCTCGTTTATCTATTTTAATTTAATTGTGTGTTGTGTCGTGTAATAAAAAAAAAAGTGAGTACACTTTGAAAACAAACCTTTGTGATAATGATGCAAATAAAAAGCATCTTTGTTTGTAATATTCCTCCCCCCCGCTACAAATAAAACCATATCTGTGACATGTGAAGTGAAAAAACAGCTGACTGTATGTATTTTCTTTCTCCCATGTTTTTTCCATACAATTTTTTTCTTCTTTTCGTTGAATCAGTTACAATTGTATGACCAAAACTATATGCAATGTACATATAGAGTCTGATAGACTGATACAACGAAAACAACGAAAAGGGCCACTCAAGGTGAGTAACCCTGCAGAAAAACAAACCCTAAAAAAACTCCCACCTGACTACTCGAAACCCCCCAACTCAACCTATAGAAACCCAGCAGCAATTAAGTCTGCCTGTAAATCACTATCCACACTACCCAGATACAATAAGTCCGAAACAATCAATCTGCCAAGAGTTGCAGCATCTCTGGGTGGCAGTTGTTGCTGTCTGCTGCATCTCTCGCGCCACAGGTAAGCAATGCAAGCACACCAGAAAATCCCTGTAAGCCTTCCTGCCGAAGTTCCCCTCTTGTTCAAGGCAGCAGCAGCCTGCACACTTCTCTGCCTTACTCTTGGTCGTGCGGCCCTAGCTCTCAATTCCGTTAGAGATGCTAGGCAGCCTTCTCACAAGCTCTCAAACTCACTCAACTCACAAGAACAAGACACAGGAAGATGGGAGAAACTCTATAGTTGTATTGCTCACAAAAATGATGGATGAGTTACAAGTGAGGGAGATGGCTCCTTATATAGGCCTCTCCACATACAAGGCATCAATGCCCCTCATAATGTCCCTCTACTACATCAATACATCCCATAAAGTCCCCCCATAATGCACTCTATTAATACTACCATAATGTAGCCCATAAGTGCACCATTAAGCTCTCATTTAGGTGGAGAATCCTAGGAGCATCTCTATGCTACTAGTCTTCCATACATGCCACATGTGCAGCTGCCTTGTTGTCACCTTGTTGGCGCCATGTCATCTGCCACATGTGACATCCTCCCCCACCTATGCTCGCGACGCCCTCGTCGCGTCTTTGCTACGAAATGCCTCCATCGACCCCGAGCAGCCTCTCTCGACTCTTGAGCCTCGTTGGTGACATTATGGTCTACATAATAGATGACCCTCTCTCCAGCATGAAACAACCTGCAAAGAATAAGTACACTGAAAGAACAGATGCTCTCTAGTTTCAACCGAGCCCCTGCAAAGCAAACATGAACCATCTATTGTCTTGCCCCATCTTACCAGCTTGTCTTTAGTAATAATACCATCCAGTAGGACTAGCCACGCAAGCAAACTATTGTTAGGTAGATGCTTTTTCCCCATACCAGTTTCGCCCATTCCACCCTTTGATCTTCAGTTCTCAAAGAATTCCACACAGTGGACACTTTATATACAGGCATCAACTTACCATCCCAACTAGGAGTATCACCAGACATTGTCAAATGAGCCTGAAACAAAGGTCTGAGTTTGAGGACCCTTCCCCATGCCCACGAACTACTTGGACTCACATTCATAGTCCATACACTACCCTGTTTGACCCTGTATCTCCACATCCAGGCCATCCAAATTGTGCCACTCTTCATCATTAAAAGCCAGACCATTCGAATAGAACAGGCTCTATTCCAAGCTAGGAGATCCTTGATGCCAAGACCACCTTCAGCTTTTGGTCGAGCCATTCTATCCCATCCAATTTTTGCTCTACCCTCATTCCCCCCATGCCAAAGGAAACTCGAGCAAACAACATACACTTTCTTTAATACCTTCTTAGGCAGGAGAAACACCTGCATCCAATACTGCAGCATGCCCATGAACACTGAATTAATCAATTCAAGTCTAGCTGCATAACTCAATTTCTTTGCACGCCAGGTCCCAATTTTGTGAGTAATCTTCTCCACCAGCTTATCACAGTCAGCAGAAGAGAGCTTTCCAGAGAATAATGAGATTTCCAAGTACCTTACTGGGAGCTTTCCCTCCTGGAACCCAGACAACTGGAGAGCATTGCTCTTGTAAAGCCCATATAGCCCCCAAAATAAATTTCACATTTATTCAGATTACACTTAAGACCAGAAAGGGAGCAGAATTCATTCAACAACTCTTGTACCCTGCATATTGCTTGTGCAGAGCCCTCTGTAAAGATCAGAAGGTCATCTGCAAAGCATAAGTGTGTTAACCCTATGTGTTTGCACTGTGGATGGTAGACAAGTGTTTTCCTTACAGCAGCTCTGTTAAGCAAGGATGATAATCCTTCCATTGTAATAGTGAATAGGTAGGGGGAGAGGGGATCCCCCTGCCTTACACCCCTCTTTGTCCCAAAGAAACCACAAAGTCCCCCATTAATACAGATACTAAACTTGGAAGTTTTAACACAGAGCTTAATCCAATACATGAACTTTGCTGGGAATCCCATAGTTTCCATCATTAAGAACAGGTATCCCAATTTACCGAGTCAAAAGCCTTCATCAAATCAATTTTAATAGCACAGCGAGAAGAAAGGTTCTTCCTACTATAACTACTAACCAATTCTTGAGCCATAAGGATATTATCCACTATTCTTCTCCCTTCTATAAAAGCTGACTGATTGCTACTTATAATATTTGGGAGCACTTTCTTTAATCTATTAGACAGGAGTTTGGCAATGACTTTGTAGAGAATATTGATACACGAAATGGGCTTAAAATCTTTGAGTTTACAGGCATAGGTTACCTTAGGTATGAGTGAAACAGCAGTAGAATTGACACTACTTGGCAGTCTGCCATCAGAAAAGAAGTCAAGGACTGCAGTTGTGATGTCCCCTCCAATAATAGACCATGTTTTCTGGAAGAAACCAGCAGAAAATTCATCAGGGCCAGGGGCTCGATGTGGATTCATGTGCATGATCACTAACTTAACCTCATCTGAGGTGAAGTCCCCACAAAGCATTGTCTTTTCTTCCTCAGACAAGAATTTAGTGACCAGAGCCTCCAACTCCAACTTATTTGGACTCACTGCCTGATAAACCTTCCCAAACAATGACTGATAGAAAAGAACTGCTTCCTCCGCTATAAGTTTAACATCTGTAATCTCCTCTCCTGAATCCAGAACAAGCTTTCGGATAGCCTTCTTTGCAGTCTTGACTTTAACAGAATGATGGAAATATCTGGTGCCTCTATTCCCCATGGTTAAAGATCTTATTCTGGCCTTTCTCCAATACAAACCTTCCTCCGCTACTTTCAACTCCTCCTACTTCTTCTGCTGAGCAGTGACCTCTGTAAAATTATCAGTGGATGGACACCTTAGAGCCTCCTGCTGAGCAGCCAGATAGAGCCTCTCAGCCACGTTTACTTGACCACTCAGATCAGAAAAAACGTCCCTATTCAATTTCTTCAAACCTTTCTTCACCTCATTTAGCTTGACCTTAAACCAATGAATAGGCACCCCCTGAACCTGAGTATCCCAACCAGCATTAACAATCTGCATAAAATCAGGATGTTCTGACCAAAAATCAAAATACTTGAAAGGTTTGGGTAGTGTACCCTGATCTGGCTTAGTAGAAACCAATATGCCACAATGATCAGAAAAAGTTCCAATGATTACTTCCACCATACAATCAGGAAATGAATCAAACCAACTCCCATTCACCAGTACTCTATCAAGCCGTCTCGCGATAGGGTTCCTCTCCTGCCTATTTGTCCAGGTAAAATGTGGCCCAACCGATCTATGATTAAACAACTCCATAGCAGAAACCCAACCACTAAAGTCGCCCATACAGTTGGTTATATCAGTCAAATTTGATGTACCAGAGGGGCAAAGAACAACATTAAAATCACCCCCTACAATCCAAGGCACAGTAGTTACCTTTAAAGGGGCCATTTCAGAGTATGTGGCTCGACGTTCAGCCTCCTCATTAGAACCATAGACTCCCGTGATAAAACAAGACTCCCCATCACTACTCTGCACCAAGAGGTGTACAAAATTCTTACCAGGCATCAAGACTCTCGCAGTAACCTTGTCAGGATTCCAGTAGACCTACAATCTCCCCAAATCACTCTCTATATAGTTCAAATGCCTTTGCCAACCAGGACAAAAACTCTCAGCAGCTTCCTCTGATTTATGTTTCATTATTCTAGTTTCCATAATAACTACTACCTCTACATTATAACTACACAGAGTTTGAGCAAAACCCTGCCTCTTAGAGGGTTTATTAAACCCTCTAACATTCCAGAATAGGATCTTCATGGTGGAGGTGGGGAGGTAAGCCTCCCACCCTTCTTACCACCCTTTTTTGGAGCCACTTGAAGTTTGATAACATCATCCTCATTGTACTTATTAAACACTTCAAAAGTTTGAGCCATATTCAGAACACTTTTGGGGCTGGGGCTAGGAGACCAAATACGTTGCCTACTCCCATTCACAACATGCTGGAAATCATCTTCTGAAGGAAGTTCAGGAGATAAAGCAGCCTCCTGAAACTTAGTATCCAGATTAGTGCACTGGATCAGATTAGAACCAACCAGCAAAGAGGTATTAATCGGAGTGGCTACTTGGTCAATCACCTTCTCTTTACCCTTACTGTGCACATCAGTCTCATTCCCCACTGTGTCAATTGGAGCTACTGAAGATACTTCCCCTAGTTGGTCCTCCACCACTTAAATCTCTTTCTGCACCTTTTTTCCTTCCTCACCCATACCTTCTCACCCTGCTTATTATCACAACCACAGTCCAGCCCAAAAGAACAACACACCTTACAAACAGGGGGAAGAAAACTATACTCCACTCCCACCCTTATCGAAGTATCATCATCAGGCCAGACCAGGACATGATCAGGAAATTCCCCAGAAGCTCTCAATTCCACTAAGACCTTCGCTACCCCCAAGCGCCCTCCTAGGCGAGTAGTTTGGTCTACACCAAGGGGCACACCCAACCAACTCCCCATTCGACTTAATCCCTGGTAATTAACATACTCGAGGGGGGTATTAGTGAACCTTACCCAGATTGGCAAAGCCTTCCTGCCAAGATCCTCGACGCTAATCCCTGGCTTCCATGGACGAAGGTATAACAGATTGTCAAAGTAGAACCAAACCAGGGGCCACTTTCTAGTATCCAATCACAGGTGGCCTGGGTAGGAAGCTGTATAAGGAGCAACTTATCACCCAGAAGCGAAACCCGAACCAACCCATCTCTTCCCCAGATCTTATTTGCCCATCTCCTCAACACAGGGAGCGGCAGAGCCTTGTGAAGAAATTGTCCGACCAGGCTGTGCTTCCAGCGAACCGCACCCTCGTCGATGACCGCTTTTGGCATACGAAGTCCACCTTTATAGATCTCAGCCTTGACATAGCAAAGTCGGTTCGCCTCCGAGATACCGAACAAGTCCGTCCAGGGCTTCACCGGGACTCCCTGAGACGAAATCTTGTCCGGCGGTGATGAAGAAGAAGAAGCCATTGCAGAACCAACAACACTCACGCACCGGCGCAGGTGCCGGCGCGACTGTTATTTGAGTCTGTCTCACAAATTCGGTTGACCGGTGGGGGATACGATCGGCCGTTATAGTGATTTATCTTGTATGATTGGCGGGGTTTACAAATGATCGATCACTCGCTTTCACATGTCGACCAAATTAAGGGAATATCAACGTAACTTATTGACTTTGTCTTATATGACCATGCATAATGCTATGTGCATTGTTCAATCTCGAATAATACAAGTGTTAGGCAGGAACACTCTTTTAGCTTTTTTTTAATAGAAAAACATGGAACTCATAACACAGACCGTGGAATACAATTAACATGTGAAATTAGAGGTGGCAAGTGAGATCCAAATCCATTTATCCAATCCAATCCAATCCATTTAAAATGGATCCAAATCCATTTAAGTTGATCCAAATCCATTATATCCATATCCATTTGATTCATGGATTGGTGGATTGGATTCATGGATTAATGGATTGATCCACCAATCCATTAACATATATTATTTTCTTTTTCATTTTATAATATATATTCTAATATGAAAAAAAAAACCCTGCTCTTAGACTTTTAGTACTGTCGAGTGTCGACTCCTACTCCAAATATTCTCTCCGATCCCACAAAAAAATTTTTCTCTCCGACGAGGCGACGACGAAGAGCAGAGCCGGCGACCTCTCCGAAGAGTAGAGCCGGCCATCTCTCCACCGCCTGCTCTCCATGTCCAAATCCACCCTGCCGCCGTCCCAATCGACCTCTCCACCGCCTGCTCTCCCCTGAGTCTGAATCAGATCCAACGTCTCAACTCCCATCCTGCGAATCGACCCTCCTCCAGCGCCGGTGAAATCTCCGCCGCCTGGCTCTTCTAGAACCCATCCTGCGAATCGAACCCTCCACCAGCGCCGACGAAATCTCCACTGCTTGGCTCTTCCATTTGAGAACCCATCTGCGAAATCGACCCTTCTGCAGATAATGAAGATGGCTCCTCCTGCGGATCGAGATGACTATGGAGTTTGGCCTTGATTTTCCCTCCAAGCGCCTAAGAGGTGAGGCTCCTCTTTACTATCGGTTTCAATTGCTTCTTTAGTTGCTTCCTTGTGCTGCCTTATTGAAGATGATTAGATGATCCAACCCTCGTTTCAGTATGTGCTCTGTTTAGGGATTTATGGTTGTTGAACTTGAATCTTCTTTAGGGTTGTTTCCGAGTACTGTTCCAATTTGTGGCCAGTGAAATTGAAGTAGCTTGTGTTTATCTGTTGTTAAGAAAACTTCCACTCGTTGGGTTCTCATGTCCTAGCTTGTGTTTATCTGTTGTTAAGAAAACTTCCCTTCTTCTTTGGCTGTTAATGGCGACCTCTTTGGGTTCTTTGTTAATGGTGTTTCAATGGCTGCCTAGCTAGCTAGTGATAAGTATGCAATAGGTAGCTCGGCTGTTATCTTAATGGAACCTTTCTCTTGAAACTTGTAACCAAGTTGCATTTCCAGAAAACACACGTCCAGAAGCTACCTAGTGATAAGTATGCAACTGGTAGTCTTCTTTCTTAACAAGCTCTCTGATCTGTGTTTTCGATTTGCTTTCCTCAGTCGGTGCTCTCCCCCACAACCCACAAAAACAAAACAAACAAGAAGAAGAAGATATTCTGTAACTCTGTTCACCATCCATCATCAAACCAGAGGTCATCATTTGCTCCGAGAGTGAAAAAGTAAGAACATTTTATCACCAATATTTTTAATCTTCGGTTCTCCCATGGCTCCATGCTTAATTACGGTTACCTGCTCAAGACTTGCAAAACCCTGTTTCATCCTCCCTTGGCGTAGTGGGCTGGGAATGAACAACAGCAATTTATGAGGTTGCATAGATGAACTAGTACAGAGATCCCATACAACCTTGCCAAATTGCATGTCTGTCTGTCTGTCTGTCTAGAATCTAGAGCGAGCTACATTCCCTAAGAGGTCACAGAGACAGGCAGAATTAGGCGATTTCCTATATAGATTGCTTAAATAACTTAGTTGGTTATGATTTCATTTGATTGTGATTTCATTACATGGATTGATTTCAGGATGTCAACACAAGAAAGAAATACTGTGGACGTTGGTGATGGTAGGGATGGTAGTGATGGTGGTGATGATGATGTAGCAACGATGTCTACATCTACAGATCATACAAGTGGTTATAAAACGCGAAAAGAACTTCCAAGGTGTGGGAAGATTTCGATTTTATTTCCGCAAATCACTTTCCCGACAAGGTACCAAGAGCACAATGCAAGAATTGTCCAAAGAGTTATGTGGCTGGTAAAGGTATTTCAAATCTCTCTCGCCATATCCATAAGTGTGTTGGAAAATTGGCAAAAAAATCAATCGAAGTGCCTATACCTAGTGCTGGAAAGTCAAAGACAATAGATCAAAATGAGTTTAAGGAGCTAATGGCTATGGCTATAATAAAACATGGATATGAATTTTCAGTTGTTGAGCATGGTGGACTTCAGAATGTGATGGCTTATTTAAATGATGATTTCAAGTCATTTACTCGGAACACTGCTAAGTCTCATTGTTTGAAGATTCATAAGAGGGAAAAAGAGAAGCTGAAAGCTCTTTTGAGTGGCGTTCCTGGTAGGATTTCTTTGACTTGTGATTTATGGACTTCTTGTGCTACTGAAGGCTATCTTTGTTTGACGGTACATTATGTGGATTCTCATTGGAAGTTAAATACTAAGATCCTAAGTTTTTGTCATGTTCCTCCTCCACATTCTGCTATTGTTTTGTACCATGCAATATATGATTTGTTGAGAGAGTGGCAAATTGAGAAGAAAATATTCTCGATTACATTGGACAATGCTAGGTGCAATGATGTCATGCAAGGCTGACACGCCAAAACACAACACCAAACTGCGACCAAGTGTAATCGCAGTCCGGGAATGTAGTAACAGGCAAGTTATATTATCAACCCGGGGTCTAGATCTACTGCTTACTCCGTGATTCTCTATTATCTAGCAAACTAAGTCGAGTGTTGTTGTTTAAAAGCAAAAGCAGTAAGAAAGCAGGAATTGGTTCGGTTTTCAAAAGCAGTTAAGAGTCACTCGGGATTGAATCCCCCTAGCCCCTTAGTTAGGTTCAATTGCAATTCCCTGGGTTGATTTACTGTTGATTAGACTGCGGAAGATCCGACAGTAGCTTGGAATCTCTTAAGCTGACCAAGCCCTCTCAGTCTAACTACCCGGCAGACGACTAGTCTTCACCGGGATAGAAAGCTGAGGCTATAAACACAGAACTCCACTACTGGCGTTAAGAACACCAGTACAAAGCAGTAAACTGGCTAACTCTCGTATAGCCAATCTCCTACTATCGAATGAAGAAGCTCTAACAACCTAATCAGATTCTATCTATCTCAGGTTGAAGCAGAAATTGAAACAAGCTGATCAGACTCAAATCAATTCATGAAACATGCGACATTCGATTAAAATCAAACAATAATATCATTCCCAAGTCATTACAATCAAAACCCTAACATCAGGAACTAGGGTTCTTCATACCCAAGTGAGAGAGAGGTTCTACTCCATAGAGAGAGAAAGGAAAACAGAAATCAGAGTAGCCATACTCATAAAGATGAGGAAAATCTGCTCTGGGATGTCAATCTTCACTCCTGGGGACGCAATCTGGGCTTCAATGATGAGAAATCCACTCCAAAATAGCTCCTAGGGTTTGTTCTTCGCTCTTTCTCTCTCTAAAACTCTGTTTTTGCCCCCGAAAATCCAATTCCCTCTCTTTGGCTCGAATCTGCCTTCAAAAGGGCATCATTGGCAAAACACGGTCGAGGGCACGGCCGTGTTCTGCCTCAGCCCGCCCGTGTTTTGCCTCAGCCTTAAAAGCACGGCCACGGGCAGCTCGAGAACACGGTCGTGCTCAGCCTGAAACACGGCCGTGTTTCTCCTTTAGCCCGCCCGTGTTTTTTTGAGTTGTTCACGCCTCCTTTGGAAGCCTCGGCATAAAAAGCACGGTCGCAGGAACACGGCCGTGTTCTGAGGGCCTCCTGCCCGTGTTTTGGCCTGGCTCGTCCAAACGACCTCCAAACGATCCGAAACTCGTGCTTGGCCTTCCCTTTGACGCCTAGGACCTGAAATAGGGCAAAGTAGCACAACCCGGCGTAAAATAGGCCAAAACACACAACCATGCTCCGCAAATGGATAAGAAATAGGGGTATAAAATCATGTAAATATATCGTTATCAAACTCCCCCACACTTAACCGTTTGCTTGTCCCTAAGCAAACCAAGTCAGACACCAGGTAAGCTTGAGACATTACAATCAAGCAGGCTCAAGGGCAAATCGTATCAGCACGAAACACGTGGATCATACTGGCTTTCGATCATCAACACATGGCAACTCGAACGACAACCTAGACAACCATCACAGATGACATTCGCATGCAATAGAGTCGAGCAAAGGAAAAGTTCTTTCATGTTCACCAACCAACATAGACTTGACTCAATCACTTGTTCAAAACAGTCACATCATGCACAAAGCTCAAGATATCAGAATTAAGACCGAGCAATCTAGGTCCTCACCGGGGTAAAGAGTATAGAGAAAATGAAGAAATGAATCGCTCACTCTCGACCAGTGGGGTCAGGACAATATGATGCGAAAAATGCGCATGCTTCTTCTCTCAATTCCTAACGTCTCTTCACCATGAATGCAGCCTCTAAATGCTAGAGTTCACATAAGAGGGTGTCACCACTAACTAATCCGGAGGGCTTAGACACAGGTTCAAATGACTGGCTAGGGTCTTGGACATGGGGAACAGGCCTTTTAGGTGGTGGCAGTTATAGCACAAGGTTCCACAATTCCAAACCCAACAAAACCACAATCAAGCAAACCAGTAACTTTCGTCCTACTATTCTGCATTAATCAAATTCTTTAGAGCACAAGAGCGAAGGAGGTTATACAAATGCTAGCATTTCCAGGCCAGACTGCTCAGAAACACTACTTAATGGGCACTATTCCAGATTTTTGGTAGTGGCTCTCTTTTGCTTTCAATTTTCCTTTGTTTTTCTTTCATTTTTCTTTTCATTTCTTAAGAGATCCACCACTTCTGCATAAATTTCAAACACCTGCCCAACTTTTAAGCACTACCTCCAACACTCACATAGACTTTAGCAGAAACAGCAGAGAATATATAAAAACCACTCTGTGGAACCTTCTAAAATATGCAACAAGGGTGATTTGTTTCATTATAGACCAAAAGAAGGGATAACACACGGCTCAAAGGGGCTGACTAGGGGATATGACACATCAGGACAGTCAGTTTTGGGCGTGGGCTAATCCTATGCCCCCATCATCTTAGCTAGTGACAACGTGAATGCTACATTTCATGGAAGAGGGAACTATCGCACAAGAAAGAAACGAGCAGGCTCAAATCTCACATGGCTACCTATATGCTCTATCTCACATTCTGATTCCCTGAACTAGATGCATAAATGACTGTCAAAAGCAAGTGATCAAATACAAGTCGCAGTTGGTAAGCAAACAGTCGAAAACTGAACCCCTACACAACTCTACTACACATCTCAGTCATCGTAATAGGCTATCTTAGTCACACTCAAGTTGTCATGCATCGAGTCAAAAGCCATTCAATTCTCTAATCACATCCACAATGCCAATACGATCAAATATCAAGCAAACAGCCGTGCTTGGAGCCCTCAAATCTCAAGATTTGGACAGTGGACTAGGCTCCAAGCACCCATACACCCGTTCCAAATAATACAAAGAAACCCCCCCACACTTAAATGCGACAATGTCCTCAATGGAGCAGAGGGAAGGGGAACGATGTTACCGTGAAACCAGGAACGGAGATCCAAAGGCAGATCGGACAATAGTAGAGGACTGGGAGTGGACCCAGTCCGCGGCACAAAGCTAGAGTCACACAAAAGACACACTGGGTGATAGAACCGAAGTTCCGAGTCTACAATCCAAAATAAAAGAAAACAAACCCAAAAGAAACAACATAAACATGGAGTCTCAGTCTGGAAATGGAATCGCGATCAGAACCAGGTGCTCGCGCCACTAGCAGTCATCGCCACCATCGCCGGAAGGTGGTGGGTACTCGTCCTCAAACCCCGGGGAAATGGGGTGGAAATGAGGGGGAAGTGGGAAAAAGTCGTTTTTATAGGGGGGGAGGCAAAACACGGGCGGCCAAAACACGGCCGTGTTTTGGCCTTGGCCCGCCCGTGTTTTTATGGCCGAGGCCGTGCTCCCCCTCCTTAAAAACACGGGCGGGCTGGGGGCAGAACACGGCCGTGTTCTGAACCCCCTGCTGCCCGTGCTTTTTAGGCCGCGCGCTCCCTGGGTCTAAATTCAAAACACGGGCGGACAGGGGGCAAAACACGGCCGTGTTTTGGCCCCCTGCTGCCCGTGTTTTTATGGCCGAGCCCAGAAAGCTGATTTTCCAAATTCCAATTTCAAACCACCCAAACTCATTCGTGCCCCGGCTCGAAAATTCACCCAATGGCACATTAAAAGGCACCGCCAGAGGCACGAAATACATTCCAGACAGACTCCAGACAGACTCTATGACTCAAAAACGACAAAAATTCAAAGGAAAAGGATAGAAATGCAAACCGTGGTGGGGTTGCCTCCCCACAAGCGCTTCTTTACCGTCTTTTAGCTGGACGCCAGTAGAGGATGCTCAGGGAAGTGTAGGATCAGGTGCCCTCAAGAGCGGATCCACATCGCTCTTGAGGTACAGCTTCAAATGGTGGCCATGTACACGACGAATGTGGCCACCTGCATTTGCCAGCTCGACTTGGCCATCCGGTAGGATGCAAGCGAGTGAATACTCGGATGGCCAAGGTGGGGGCGGGACCAGCTCATAGTGGTCTCCGGCTTTCTTGCGAGGAGGCTTAGCTGCCTGCAGTTTCGGCCGCCACTCCTCCTTGACCTGTTCTTTGGATGATGGAGTGGTCCGGAGTGGCGGCGAAGATGTGAGAGGCGGGTCCTGCAAAACAGGCAGCACAGAAGGATACACGACAGACTCGTGCTCCTGGTGAGATACAGCATGCAGAGGTAACGAATCAGATATAGTGTTAGCAACAGAAAATGTTATTCGCTCCTCGCCATCCCTCAGAACTAAGGTCCCATCATGCACATCTATGAGAGCCTTGGCGGTGGCCAGGAAAGGCCTTCCCAGTATAAGAGGCACTTCTGTGTCCTCACTGATGTCCAGGATAACAAAATCCACAGGATATGTGAATTTGCCAACCTTGACCAGAAGGTCTTCCACTATACCCCTAGGATGCACTACCGATCTGTCAGCTAATTGAAGGGTCATCCTAGTAGCACGGGGTTCACCTAGGCCTAGTTTCATGAACAATTTATATGGAATAACATTGATACTAGCACCTAAATCCGCCAAGGACTTCTCTACATGCAATTTACCGATAGAGCACGGGATAGTGAAACTACCTGGGTCCTTTTTCTTCTGCGGCAGCTTGTTCTGCAGAATAGCCGAGCACTCCTCGCTGAGCTCCACAGTGGCCAGCTCACTCAGCTTCTGCTTCTTTGAGAGAAGCTCTTTCAGAAACTTCGCATACTTTGGCATTTGCGATAGTGCCTCAAGAAAGGGCACTTGGACATTCAGCTTCTTGAGCATGGCCATGAAGTTCTCGAACTCTGTCTCCAGCCTGTCTCTGTGCAACCGAGTAGGGAAAGGGAGTTTAGGGACATACTCCTTCACTACTGGTTGCGGTTCAGGTGCAGGCACCTCAACCTCCTTCTCTACTTCGTGTTCCACCGCTGGAGATGCTACGACAGGGCTTTCTTTCTCCGGTTCCCGAGCAGGTGGGTCAACAGTCAGCTTGCCACTCCTGGTCATGATGGCATTGGCAGTCTCGTGGGGGTCGCGAGGATGAGGGATGGTCTGCGCTGGTAGAGTACCAGGCGCCCTTTGAGCCACTGCTTGGGCCACGCTCCCCAGCTGGGTCTGGATATCCTGCAAAACAGCCCGTGTATTCCTCTGACCAGCTTCCAGAGCCAGGAGTTGACCCGAGGCCTTCTCCATGAACTGCTCAAAGGTGTTGAATTTCTGAGCACTAACACTGGCGAGAGAACCCACCAAGTCCTGCAGTTCAGCCATCTTATCGTTCTGCACTGGGGCAGCAGGGGCTGCACCTGGCTGCTGGAATTGCCCCTGTCTGGGCTGATATAGTGGCCTCTGGAAGCCCGGTGGTCCCTGTGGAGGTGGTGGTCTGGGATTTGGCCCAGCCCAGGAGAAGTTAGGATGCTGGCGCCACCCCTCGTTGTACGTGTTGCTGTCGGGGTCATTGCGCCTGACATTGTTGATGAAGTTCACCTGCTCCTGGGGTGTGGTCGATTCCTTCATCGCCTGGCAGTCTTCCACCATATGATGGGTGCTCTCGCACCACTGGCAGAGCATCGCCTGCTGCTGTCCGGTCCCTGGAATCATCCCGGAACGATCGATAGCTGAGACCAGCTTCGATACTACCTGCACCAAATCAGATGACTGGGTGCCCACAACATGCACACCCCGGCCTGGTGCTCTCCTCGATCTCCTGGCAGTGCCCCAATCATAACCATTCTCCGCCATCTCTTCAAAGAGTTGATTCAGCTGTGGCGGGGTTTTGGTCAGCATGTTCCCGCCACATACCGAATCGATCAGCTGCTTGTCCTCCGGGAAGAGGGCGTGATAGAAGGTGCCCACCTTGAATGCATCGTTGAAACCATGATTGGGGCACCTGAGGAAAAGGCTGTTGTATCTCTCCCATGCATCCCTGATGGTCTCATCCTCATCCTGAGCAAAATGTGTAATCTGCTTCTGGAGATCAGCTGTCTTGGATGGAGGATGGTAGCGGGTGAGGAACTTGTCCGCCAGGTTGGCGAACGTGGTGATGGAGCCCGGAGGTCGAGTGTCTAGCCACTCCTTGGCATGCCCCTCCAGAGTGAATGGGAAGTACCTCAGCTGGATGGCATCTGCTGGTACCCCATTGATCTTGATTCCATCGATGAGCTCGTGGAATCGCCTGAGATGTGATCGAGGGCACTCTCCCTCCTTACCACGGAACACTACTGAACCGCGCAGCATGGTGATCACGGAGGTGCTCACCTCAAAGTTGTTGGCTGGGACCTGAGGGTGTTGAATAGGTGACCTCATGTCCGCAGCCCTAGCGGCCCAGTAGGACCCCATGGTTTGCTCCTCGGGGATCACAGCATGGTTCTGCGGATCACCCATCTCGCCTTCTTCTTCCTCTCTGATCTGTAGCTGTGACAGCGCCTTCTCCGCAGCCAGTCGCGCCTTTAGAACCCGCTTGGAGTTCCTGCAGGTTCGTTCAAGCTCCTGGTCAAGTGGTAGTAGATCTCCCGACTGGCTACGGGTCATGCACTACCTGCACACACTCAGAAGAAACAACCCGTGAAGGCACACAGGTGGAAGAAAGAAAATGCAGAAAATAAAAAACTAGAGTAACAAATTATCACGTTTCTCCAATAACCTAGAGTGTCCCCGGCAACGGCGCCAAAAACTTGACACGCCAAAACACAACACCAAACTGCGACCAAGTGTAATCGCAGTCCGGGAATGTAGTAACAGGCAAGTTATATTATCAACCCGGGGTCTAGATCTACTGCTTACTCCGTGATTCTCTATTATCTAGCAAACTAAGTCGAGTGTTGTTGTTTAAAAGCAAAAGCAGTAAGAAAGCAGGAATTGGTTCGGTTTTCAAAAGCAGTTAAGAGTCACTCGGGATTGAATCCCCCTAGCCCCTTAGTTAGGTTCAATTGCAATTCCCTGGGTTGATTTACTGTTGATTAGACTGCGGAAGATCCGACAGTAGCTTGGAATCTCTTAAGCTGACCAAGCCCTCTCAGTCTAACTACCCGGCAGACGACTAGTCTTCACCGGGATAGAAAGCTGAGGCTATAAACACAGAACTCCACTACTGGCGTTAAGAACACCAGTACAAAGCAGTAAACTGGCTAACTCTCGTATAGCCAATCTCCTACTATCGAATGAAGAAGCTCTAACAACCTAATCAGATTCTATCTATCTCAGGTTGAAGCAGAAATTGAAAAAGCTGATCAGACTCAAATCAATTCATGAAACATGCGACATTCGATTAAAATCAAACAATAATATCATTCCCAAGTCATTACAATCAAAACCCTAACATCAGGAACTAGGGTTCTTCATACCCAAGTGAGAGAGAGGTTCTACTCCATAGAGAGAGAAAGGAAAACAGAAATCAGAGTAGCCATACTCATAAAGATGAGGAAAATCTGCTCTGGGATGTCAATCTTCACTCCTGGGGACGCAATCTGGGCTTCAATGATGAGAAATCCACTCCAAAATAGCTCCTAGGGTTTGTTCTTCGCTCTTTCTCTCTCTAAAACTCTGTTTTTGCCCCCGAAAATCCAATTCCCTCTCTTTGGCTCGAATCTGCCTTCAAAAGGGCATCATTGGCAAAACACGGTCGAGGGCACGGCCGTGTTCTGCCTCAGCCCGCCCGTGTTTTGCCTCAGCCTTAAAAGCACGGCCACGGGCAGCTCGAGAACACGGTCGTGCTCAGCCTGAAACACGGCCGTGTTTCTCCTTTAGCCCGCCCGTGTTTTTTTGAGTTGTTCACGCCTCCTTTGGAAGCCTCGGCATAAAAAGCACGGTCGCAGGAACACGGCCGTGTTCTGAGGGCCTCCTGCCCGTGTTTTGGCCTGGCTCGTCCAAACGACCTCCAAACGATCCGAAACTCGTGCTTGGCCTTCCCTTTGACGCCTAGGACCTGAAATAGGGCAAAGTAGCACAACCCGGCGTAAAATAGGCCAAAACACACAACCATGCTCCGCAAATGGATAAGAAATAGGGGTATAAAATCATGTAAATATATCGTTATCAAAGGCCTTTTACTCGACCAATTGAAAGAAAATGGGACATTAGTATGTGATGGGGATTATTTTCATATTCGTTGTGGTGCTCATTTTTTAACCTGATTGCAAACGAAGGATTAAAAGAGATTCGTGCATCTATAGATGTTATTAGGGAGTGGGTGAAGTATGTCAAGGGGTCTGAATCTCGAAGGATAGTTTTTGAAGATTGTGCAAAGAGAAGTAATTGTCTGAGTTCTAAAGGACTATGGTTAGATTGTCCAACCAGATGGAACTCTACATACATGATGCTTGAGAGAGCGGATCTTTATCGTCGTGCTTTTCAACATATGAGGTTTGTTGACAGAAATTTTGATAGATGCTCGTCAGATGTAGAATGGGACAAGATTGAGAAAATCATCAAGATTTTGAAGCCTTTTAATGACATCACGAAGCTTTTTTCTAGGGTCCATTATCCTACTTCTAACCTGTATTTCTGCAATGTGTGGAGGATTCAAATGCGGTTGATGAATGCATGTGAAAGTGTGGATAGTGATATTTGTCGTATGGCTATAGCGATGAAGGGCAAGTTTGATAAGTATTGGGAGTCCTACAATACAATTTTGTCCATAGCTGTGGTCTTTGACCCACGGTATATGTTGGATTCTGTGAAATTTTGTTATGAGAAGCTATATGGGCAAGCTGTTGCTAAAACAAAATGTCTTGAGCTTCGAGGAAAGATATGTGATCTATTGAAGGAGTACAATGACTCTACCGATCAATCATCATCACTTGATGAGTCTATTGCTGAAGATATAGGCTATGAAGATGATATGGATGTAAGTAAATTTACTTTTCTAATTATCTTTATCTTAATGCATTTGTATTACTAAAATGAGTTTTTGTTTCACAGGAGTTCGATTCGTTTGGGGAAAGTCAATTCTTGAGTGATAGGACACAATTAGATGAATATTTGGATTGTAAAAGGCTCAATCGCAAACAACCGTTGGATGTTCTTTTATGGTGGAAAACGAATGAATCTCGATTCCCAGAGCTTGCTTGTGTGGCTAGAGATGTTTTGAGCATTCCTATCACTACTGTAGCTTCAGAGTCGGCCTTCAGTATGGGAGGTAGAGTTCTAAGCAACTTGCGAAGCTCTCTTTTGCCTGAAAATGCCGAAGCTTTGATTACCACACGCAATTGGCTATATGGATTTCCAAGTAAGCTAATTAAGGATATGGTTTATTTGATAATAACTTAATCTAATACAGTTTATTTAGTAACATTTGAATTGCTTGATGAAGGTGATGATCGTGATAATGGGCTCGAGGTGGAAATTTCAAAGGCGGTCGGAACATCCTCAATGACTTCTAGCTCTACTCCTGTGTGAAATTTTGATATATTGTGTTTCATGTACTAGACTCCAAGACAGTTTAATTGGGTCAAGCTCTGAAGTATAAACCCCCTAAACTTGCTATGATGATGTGAATAGCTTGCTTCATGGGAATCTGTTTTATGATTTGAGTTTGTTGACAGCCGCATACAGTGTGTACTACTGAAGCTCTCTCTCTCTCAACAGTTACTGAAGCTCTCTCTCTCAACAGTTATGTATTTTAAATTCAACCCAAGAATCCGGTGCGTTCCATTAGGGGAGCCTTTTTCCCTTTGTTTAATTGCGGAAGGAATTAAACAAAATCCATTTGGATCCGATCGGGGCATTTTGTAAATGAAAGGACGATTTATTGTTGTGGATCCACGGATCCATTGGATCCGATCCACGAATTCACGAATCCATTGGATCCGATCCACGAATCCACGAATCCACGAATCCGATCCACGAACCCACGAATCCGATCCAATTGCCACCTCTATGTGCAATGGTACTTTCCTAAACTACATGCATGGTAATGGTAGGTAGGTATGTGACTAGAACTACACGGCCCAATCATGAAAAACCACACGCGGCCCAAAATTTCTTGCTTATAAGTTATAAGCAACCCACGGATTCGAACCTTTCATTTCAAATCCAATGACCAAGATTAATCGTGAAGAGATTCAGAAACAAAACCTATACCATCTCCTTTCCTACGGTCATGGTTTGACCATTTGAGTTAGGCAACACGAAAAGTCAAAACCATTGGCTTACGTTCCAAACGTAGTTATCCATACATAACCATAAAATTAACAGCAAAATACTCGATAATCAAAACTCTACAGGCCAGGCTCTCATCTATAAATACCGTCAGGCCAGGCTATCAATAATCACACCTCTTCATATCCATTTCTCCATATACAACTCCCTCCCTTATTACTCACCTCATCTCTCAATCAATTCGCGGTAATTTAACACAGAAATGAAGGGTTTGTTTCTTGCTCTAGTTGTTTGCCTGTTGGTGGTGATTTTACCAGCTGCATTGGGTCATGATCCTGAGCCTAAAAAAGGAAGAGTCGCTTACTACCGCATGTCCAACGGCTTAGGAACGCCAGGCGGAGCTTGTGGCTATGCCAAAACTGGCATAACTTACAACTACGGCAACGTCGCAGCGGCATCTAGCAAGCTGTGGAAGAATGGAGCTGCCTGTGGCGCTTGTTATCTAGTGAAGTGCGGGATAAAAGGCGTCTGCAACAATGAAGGAGTGAAAATAGTGGTGACGGATCGCGGAGATGGAGACAACACGGACTTCATCCTCAGCTCCCACGCCTTCGAAACCATGGCTCTACCGAACAAGGCTTCCCAGTTGCTACCCAAAGGCGTCGTCGACGTCAAATACGAGCGAATTCCGTGCAAGTATCCAGGCCACGATAGCCTAATGGTGAAGGTGACGGAGCAGAGCAGGTTTGCGGAATACTTGTCTGTTGTTCTTTTGTACCAAGGTGGACAATACGACGTTTTAGGCATCCAAATCTACGACGGAAGTGTGAAGCAATGGAAGGACATGAGGAATGCATACGGCGCCGTTTACGATCTGCCTAACCCACCAAAGGGAACAATTTCGTTGAGGCTGAAACTCAAGAATATTGCCTCCGGAGGAGCAGTGAAACTCGTCAAGCTGGATAACGTTATCCCACGTTTCTGGAAGGCTGGGGTTGCTTATGACTCCAAGGTTAAGCTTGCTTAAGTTATATAATTAACTTGGCACACAAGTGGGTTCTCTCGTTTATCTATTTTAATTTAATTGTGTGTCGTGTAATAAAAAAAAGTGAGTACACTTTGAAAACAAACCTTTGTGATAATGATGCAAATAAAAAGCATCTTTGTGACATGTGAAGTGAATAAACAGCTGACCGTATGTATTTTCTTTCTCCCATGTTTTTTCCATACAAATTCTATCTCGTGCTTTTTATTTATTTTATATCTCGTCTTTCTAAGAGCACGAGGGATCTCCGAGATGTAAAGTGGGTAAAATTCCAAAGCCAAATCAGGCCGAAGGAGACGAGTAAAAAAAGAAATTACAGGGGAAACAAGCTTAGTAACAAACGTTGGAATTATTTGGAAGAATAAGTTTTTTGTCGGTGACAAAAACACTTAATTCACACATTTTTTCATTTATTCACACCATATTTGCGTTATTCACGCCATATTGACGTTATTCACGTAAGAGTGTTGCTTATTCATGCAACCAATATTGTTTAGTCGCGATGTTTATTCACATGTATTGTTATTTATTCAAGCCATTGTAAAGTTAAATTTTAGACGTTAAAATATATCAAAATGGATGTCATTGTGCAGATTATGATCAATGCAACATATTTTTACAGACTAATTGAGAATCCCAATTTAATTCCATAAAATATAGCCACTACAAATTATTAGGGGGAAGAAGTCTGAATTTTCATTTACGTGAATAACTTACACTCTTACGTGAATAAACATAGTATTACGTGAATACACACCACATAGAGTGAATGAGTACAAAAGTACGTGAATAAATTGGCATTAGGTGTTTGTCACCTAACTTGACAAGAGAGGTTTTCCTATTTCGAATTCTATGCATGAGTGCAAATTTATTAAATTTTTTCAAGCATCATTAATACTAACAACCATTCACGCAACTTCACCAATCATTTCTAATTGTGAGGTGAAAAAAGATTATTTAGTCGAAACCCTCGTCTAACCAAGTGCAGAACTTTTGAGTAATAAACGTTGCGATTTTCCAAGGAACGGGGCTAGTGGTTGATATTTGATAAACCAACACTAACTTCACAAAATATGGGAAGAGCTGAAGAGGCTTGTTAATTTTGTCTCTTATATATTGTCCTGCACATCTCAGTGGATATCGAATTGGCTGTGAAGTGACTGCATGTGTGGATGGACACAGCCATAAGATTTGAAAGCAATTGATTCAGGAGAATGTGGCTTCCATGAGATCTCCTCCTGTCATACGAATGGAGCTAGCTTCATAACAGGCCAATCCTTAGTTAATCAAGACATTCCTCATTACATAATTTGGTCATGTCGGTGTAATTCGAAGCCTTCAGTTGTCACTATCTTGCCTGCAAATAGGGTTGTGAATTCGGTCACGGTTTTTTGGGTAAACCGGACCATTTAAACCGGTCTGCAAGTAGGGAGCTCATGTGATTTTTTTCAGTTGTTTTTTAAAATAGCTAAAAAACAGAGTCGCTTTGGCGAATGGGAAGATTTTTTATTTTGTGGTTAAAACCGGACCAACATGTATTCAATCCAATCCAGTTATGGTTCAAAACCGTATTCAATCCAATTCAATTTATCATTGTAGAATTGACACAAATCTCATCCAAAAAATCGGATAAATCCAGTGCAGTTAAATCGGATTGTACCGTTTTCCACTCCTACCGGCAAAGACTACGTCCTTTGTGGTCCTCCACAAGAACCAATAGCTAGCTCCAAACTCCTAAATAGTGTGCTGTTTGAAAACAACTAACTTGTGCATGGTTCTTTCCAGAACAACGTAACAATAACAATGCGCATGGTAATCGTAAGGGAGGCCGTGGAAAACAACCAACTTGTGCATGCATGGAACTTTTCCAAAACAACGTACGTGCATGGTGGAAACTAGCTAGGTCGCGTAAAGAAAAAATAATTAAAAACACATAAAAGGACCACGCAGACGGATATGCATACACAAACCCACGGATTTTGAACCTTAATTATTTCAAACCCAATGGCCAATATATTTGTTTGGTCGAAACCAAATGGCCAAAATTAATTTTGAACAGATAATTAGAAATAGAATAAAGAACTGTACCATTTTCTAAAGACATGAACACAAAAAGTCAGTCAAGTGCTTTAAGTTAGATAAACTGGGGGGGGGGGGGGGGAAATTCAAAACCAATGGGTTACTTTCCAATGGTACTTACTTACCCATATAATCATCGAATAATACTAACAATTAGCCAATAATAATCAACCAATTCCCATCTATAAATACCATAACCCTTCATCCATTTTCCATATCCCCCACTCTCATTACTCATCATCACACTTCATACCAATCTCCCAACTTTAACAATATATTCATTCAAAATGAAGGGTTTGTTTTTTGGCGTAGTTGTTTGCCTGTTGGTGCTTCTGCCTGCTGCAATATTTGGTCATGATCCTGTGCCTTTCCCCTCTTCCCCTAAGAAAGGCAGAGTCACTTACTATCGCCAGCCCAATGGCTTAGGAATTCCGAGCAGAGCTTGTGGCTATGCCGACACTGGCATAACTTACAACTACGCTAACGTCGCAGCCGCCTCTAGCAAGCTCTGGAGAAATGGAGCTGCTTGTGGTGCATGCTATAAGGTCATATTAATTAATTACATGCAGCAACTTCCGCCTTCCCCCCCCCCCCCCCCCCCCCCAGTTTCATTGTATTATTATACAGATATGCCTGAGCATAGTTAGTAAAATACGGTAGGGGAAAGTTACGTAAAAAATACGTACGGGTATTATACTTTGCCTCTAAACTAAAGTTACGTTTAATAGTACGTTAATAGTCATAAATATATAAAATTAATCATTTTATAAATAAATAAATATATAAATAATAGTAAAATTAACAATTTAATTCGTAAAATATGGATAATAAACATGTTATACGGGTTTTATACGTGTTTAGTACGGGATCCATCAAATGATCGGGGAAAAATAAAACGGCTTGAAAATAATACGGATACGGAAGTTTTAAACGAATAAAATACGTTTGGATACATATACGTGTATTAAACGAAGTATTTACTAACTATGTGCCCGAGTATATATGTACGTACGTAGTCGATTCTTGTTGAAGATGTTTACTCTGACAAATCCTCGACATGATGAACAGGTGAGTTGCGGGATAAAAGGCGTCTGCAACAGCCAAGGAGTGAAAATTGTGGTGACGGACCTCGGGGATCGAGACAACGCGGACTTCATGCTCAGCTCCCACGCCTTCGAAGCCATGGCTCTACCGAACAAGGCTTCCCGGCTGCTGCCCAAAGTTGTCGTCGACGTCAAATACGAGCGAATTCCGTGCAAGTATCCA